CCCGGCCACTGCCTCTAGGTGCTGGACGCTCCCCCGGGCGTCCCTGAGCGGTGCGCGTGGGGTCCCAGTGGCCCTGCCCCCGGCCGAGCCCCCGCAGGCGGCCGACGACCTGCCCTCCAGCCTGGACAACCTCAGCGTCGCTTCGCTGCCGGAGGCCGCGGTGGCTCGTCCAAACCAGGATTACAATTTAGTGAATTCTCTGCTGAATCTCACCAGAAGCCCGGTGAGTCGCCTCTAGCCCCGCCCCCACATGGTCGCGTTTGATGTATTTAAAGTGGAAAAAGCTGTTCTCGTTTTGGCGAGAACATCGTCTGTAGTGGAACTTTCCAGCACCTGGCAGTGCCTAGCGTGCGCTGAGGACCGCGGCTCTCTCCCCAGGATGGCCGGATAGCCGTGAAAGCCTGCGAGGGCCTGATGCTGCTGGTCAGCCTGCCGGAGCCCGCGGCCGCCAGGTGCCTCTCCCAGAGCACCTGCCTGTGCGAGCTGCTGACCGACAGGCTCGCCGCCCTGTACCGGGCGCTCCCGCAGGCCGTGGACCCCTTGGACATCGAAACAGTGGAAGCGATTAACTGGGGGTAAGAGCCTTGGTCCGTGTTTTCCCATTAGGGCGAATTCTCACCCCTACACTTTTAAATACTGTTTTGTAATGTAAGAATCTTTTGTTTTGAAAAATATTATTGGTGATCATTAAATGGGATTATTTCTTGAGGCTTCTTTTTAGTTTTTATCAATTAGTGGGAATGCATTTGCATGGAACAATCCCGCCTGCTGCATAGTTAAACTTTTTCCCCTTTTCCATGATCTTGATCAACTTTTAAGAGCTTACATGTAAACCAACAATTTCATATGATTATTTAAAATAAAAAGCCCGAAAGGGAGATCTGCAAGTCCCACAGTTCCTACAGCCGTCTCATGTCTCGTGATCTGCCTGGATAGAATCTCTCCTACCTTGTTCTCCCACCCCTTTTGGTCATCTTTCAGGGCTCCCCCTGGATTCTCATAGGAAAATATGATTGAAGAACATTTCTACATTATTAAAAAGTATAAAGCAACATAAGTAAAATTACCCATAATCATATCATCTACAAGCAAGTTAATAATTTGACATAATGACCTATTTTTGTTGTAAGATTTATTTATTTATTTATGCATACAAGAACTGGAGTGCAGGGAAGGGGTGGGGAGGGTGAGAGGATTCACCAGAGAGAGTGCGGAGCAGAACAGGCGGATCCACTGACATACACTGCTGAGGGGAGCAGCAGGCGAGACAGGACAGGAGAGGTCTGCCGTTCCCTGTGGGTCAACGCCCTGGCCAGAGATGGAATTCAGGCCTGGGCAGTGATAGCACTGAGATGAACTCCTAGGCCACCAGGTTGGCCTCTGGTCATTTCTTTTTGAAGACCCTCCTTTACCTTCCTTTTCTGTCATCCCAGCAGCTGAGAGCCTCTTACTTGTCATGCCTATTCTTTGGTCAGATTTATGGTGAACTTATGAGTAGCTGACTCAATGGTTTTTCTCCTGCATCTCTGTTCTGCGTTCTTTTTCTACTATTTGAGACAATGTCTTACAAATCTCATTTGAAAAGTTTTATCTTTGACTTTTCTGTCTCTCTCCTCATTGTCACTCAGCATTGCTGTATAAACACATTACAAATGAGTTCATTCATATGCCTTGATTTTTTTATAGGTACAGAACTGGATTAATGCTTTTGGGTAACTTTGAACATAGCATTTCTTCTCTGTCCTACAGCTTGGATTCATATAGTCACAAAGAAGATGCTTCAGCATTTCCAGGAAAACGAGCCTTAATTTCATTTCTTTCCTGGTTTGATTACTGTGATCAGCTCATAAAGGAAGCACAAAAGGTTTGAATAATTTTGTTGTTTATGCATAATTTTAAAACATAAATATCTATTAAGTAAAATTTGAACCTTCACTTTATATCTCCAAATATATTTCGTTGTCTTAGGATAGCTTAGTTTCAAAATAAATAAAACCTAATAAACAAGACAGTGTGTGTGTGTGAGAGAGAGAGAGAGAGAAAGAGGAGGGGGAGAGAGAACTCTGGAATAAATCAAAATTGAAGTTTTGTCTCTACATTTATTTAAGTGATAGAGTGCATACTTTACCAGGTGACCTTGTTCTCCCTCCACTTCTCTCTGAGAAGATGAGGTGAGTAGGGGAATATTTTTATGTTGTTCTTATTCTTGGAAATTTAGATAAAATATAAAGACCCCAGTAGCTAATACCTAACCTGAGTTTGTCTGCCATCAACACGATGGTCATTAGATAAGTTTGTTTTATCTAAATCCAATGGATTTGCAAATTGACGGCACAAATTAATCGTTCCAATAAAAAAAAATAATGATGTTCATACTATATTCTAGACCACTGCTGTTGCTCTTGCCAAAGCTGTTCATGAGAGATTTTTTATTGGTGTTATGGAGCCTCAATTAATGCAAACGTAAGTAGCTTCTTTACTTTAAAAACAAAACAAAACATCGTGGGTTTTTTGCCAACTAATTACCTGGGGTTTTTTTTGTTGTTGTTCAGTTCTGAGATGGGTATTCTGTCGTCAACTGCTCTCCTTCATCGAATTGTTCGGCAAGTAACTTCTGATGTTTTGCTTCAAGAAATGGTATATTTCATCCTTGGAGAACAAAGAGAACCAGAAACTCTGGCAGAAATTAGCAGACACCCATTAAGATATCGGTTAATTGAACATTGTGATCACATATCTGATGAGGTAAGCTACGTCCTGATTCATACTTGGACTTGAGCTTTTGAAATGCTAATTTTAGTATGCTTCTGATGTTTTGAATAGTCTCTTTTTTAAAATATGGTTTTAAAAATGGAGGGTGTGATTTACAACTGGTGATTTATAATTCATTGAAGGTATTTTTTAGCTATCCTTCATTATTTTTTGCTTTCAGATAAGCATAATGACATTAAGAATGTTTGAACATCTTTTACAAAAACCAAATGAGCACATTCTTTATAACTTAGTCCTGAGAAATCTTGAAGAAAGAAATTATACTGAATATAAGCCTGTGTGCCCAGAAGATAAGGATGTGGTGGAAAATGGGCTGATAGCAGGAGCTGTGTAAGTTTCTGTCCACTCAGTGAGGTTAGCTTTCTGTGTAGAATTGTGATTCTTTTCTCTTATTTTTCTTGCTTATTCACAAAAAGAAACCCATAAGAGTTAAAGTTTTTTAAAGTAAAGTTCCGATGCCCATTCCTTTAAATTACACATTGTAGCCTCCTTGGCGATCAAGAGGTTAGGTCTCAGTACTGCCTGGCCCAGTCAGGGAGCTGACCCACGTGGTGCAGCAGACCTCGCCTGTCTTGCCTGCTGCTCCTCTTAGCAGGGTATTTCTGTAGATCCACTTGTTCTGCTCCCCACTCCATCTCTGGTGTGTCCTCTCACCCCTGCACCTCTGGCCTGTACCCTAGTCCTACAAAATAAGTAAATTAAAAATGAAATAGATAAATTACAAACGACATCATCTACTAATCCTAAAAATAAAAAATCCAACATATTATTCTTGTTAGTATGATGTTAATTTACCTAAAATATAAATTCCTCAGTTCTTGTATTAGCATAGTTAAATAATGTTTTCTAAGAACATAGTGAGAGCCTTGATTTAGAAAATATAATAAACTTTTTTCTTATACGTCATTAAATTAAACTTAGAGATCTGGAAGAAGATCCATTATTTACTGACATTTCACCAGATAACATGCTGTCAAACCAAGAGTGGCTTAGTTCTTCACCTCCTGCTACTCCTGATCACCCCAAAAGTGATGGGAAAACTGAAGTCCATAAAATCGTGAATAGGTGAGTGCTCTATAAACGTGACTAAGAGCTTCGATTTGTCTTCAGAACATATAATTCCTTTGCTTAGGTTCTTACAGAGCTAGATTACTGAATTTTCTCTTTAAAGATTGTGTCAGCTTTTTGTCACATGTATGTCGCACCTGCCAGTCTAGAAGCTGCAGTCCATTCCAAGAGAAAAAAGCACAACTTGCTGTAGAAGTACAGACAGGTGACCATGTTCAGGCGGCCGCCCGCGCTCCCTGCTGCTCTGCTCCCACGAGGAGGGTCATGCCCGGCGAGCGGCCTTGCCTTTCCAGCGTGTGGCCGTGGCTGCTGCGCTGTGAGAGCCCTGTTCCTTCTCATTGCTTTTGTTTTTGCTTTCTTTGGAAAGTGCCCTTTCTGTGTCGATTGTCTTCCTCCACCTGCTGTCACTGGGGTACCTGGTTCTGGCAGGTGACTTAGATGGTGGCTCACAATGCTAAACTGGAGAGTATAAAACACGAGTTCAGTTGCTTAAAGCCAGTTTCCTGAGATTGTCAAATATCATGAGGATCTGTCATTGTGTGTGTTGCATTTTCGTAGGCTTACTTCTGTCTTAAGTAGAATGAGTAGTTTTTTAAAATAAAACCTTTTAATCCCTGAAATGTAGGCCTGATTTAAGATGCAATTAAAACATACAACTATATTTTTCAGTTTTGTTTTCCATTTGTCCTAGTACTTGACTAAACTGAATATATCGCCAGACTTTTGTGTACATGTAAAGATACTGAGTTGTGATAATATTTATGTCTTTTTCATTTAAGCTTCCTCTGCCTGGTACCTGATGAAGCAAAATCCTCCTACCACGTCGAGGGCACTGGATATGATACCTACCTCCGAGACGCTCATAGGCAGGTGGGTGGCGTGGAGGGGTCTTACCGACTGCGCACAGCATTCTCGCCGCCAGGGCGTTCTCCCAGGCCCTCCCTTTCTCCCAAGGATCCCAGCTCCACTCTCACTACTTAAACTTTCTGCAAGGGATTATGCTTTGCATTTTGCTGACGGCGTCTCGGTTGCACGATTTCTTATGTTTGCTCCTCTCCTTTCCCTTCTCACCCCCCCCCCCATCTTTCTTACAACCCCTTCCTCTTAATTATTTCTTTCTGGACTTGAAATTATAGCTCCCCCAAATCCTTTCCCCTGCTGATCCAAAATACAATTTTTATTGCTTCTATGCGCCACCCACCTGGCTCCGGGTATCCTGCCCATGACCGTTCTCTTCCACCACCATTCTTAACACCAGCCCTGAGCTACAGAAGTTGCCTCTTCTGTCTGGATCTCACTCCTTCCTTCATCCCTGGCCTCTGGCCTTCTCCCTCAATGAAACTGCTCCCTCAGATGTCTCCTCTTAGTAAATTGAATGCCTCTCAACCTTCTTTTCTATATGACATCCATAAAATTCCACATTTTGAAATGTCTCAACTCAGAAAAGCATGCATTTACTTTTCATTTAAATTCTTTGGATTGAAGTATGCTTTATACATAATCATTTTGCAAATTCCTATAATGTATAATTCAAATCTACACTATTAATGAGTAACGTCTGTGATGGGGCAGCTGATACCTTCATATGACAAGAGAGGCAGTGTGAAGGGCATTGGTGTCAGTAGTACCAAGCAATTTCATAAATCATGTTTTTTCTTTCTGTGAAGTTTCATCTCTGCTTTCTAATTATAAATGCAAGTATGAACCTTTCAGCAGTAGTAGAAAACAGGCAAAATCAGAAAACCAGAAACTTACTTTTTAGGTCAGAATTTCAAAAGTGTTATTGTAAAAATGCATCATTAAAAATTGGGACATGTCGGCCCTCCCTGGTGGCGCAGCGGGTTAAAGCACAGCACTGAGAATCTGAAGCCACTTCCGTATGAGTTCGATTCCCGCCTGCTGCCTGCGCCGGAGGAGACCACATGGCGAGCCAGACCTCTCCTGACCCGCCCGCTGCTCCCCTCAGCAGTGTACTTCGTCGATCTGCCTGTTCTGCTCCCCACTCTGTCTCTGGTGAAGCCTCTCACCGCCCCTGAGCCTCTGGCCTGTACCCCAGTTCTGTATGAATAAATAAATAAATCTTAAAAAAAAAAAAAATTGGGACATGTCTTTATAAAGAAAATTATTGAAAGTTAATAATTTAAAACTCAAAAGATATTGAAGAAGTTCATTTTTAGTATTTTAAAAATTTTTGAGAATGTTTAATTTCACATCAAAATAGTTTTGCTTTATTGAATGAAGAGATTGCAAAGAAACAGAATGAAAGAAATCTGTTATACATTTTTTTTTAAATTCAAGTAAATTACATATTGAAAGGCTTAAAATTTATTGTATGTGGTTGTTTTTGTTGATAAAAATTGATATTGTTTAACTACTGATAAACTTTGTATAGTGAAGAGCCAGTTTCTTATTTCTTGTTTCACAGATCCACACTTTTGTAAAATGTAATAAAAACAAATTACCAGAAAAGTGGAGAAAAAACATAAAATACAAACTCTGGTTATCTTGTTAGATTCAACAGACATACAATTTACTAAATTAAATTGCTGGAAGAGGGCGTGAAAGCCCCCTCAGTTTTTGCTCTCACTCACTGCAGTGGTGTCAGTGTGGGGAACAGCGCAGGCCCAGCGACCATGCTTTGAGCAGTGCTGTGGTAACTGTGTGCCAAGAGTGACTCGCCACAGGAAGGTCGGTTTGCCTTCTCAGACGATGTTCCTCTGCTTATCCGTTCTATGCAACATTTTTGGATAGACTTAGTTTATTGTTTAAATGATCTCTATATCTGTGATGAAAAAATGTAAAGGGCTATAAACTCTAAAGGAAAGAGGCTAAGCTCAGTAGTTAAACAGGCTCTTTGGTAAAGTTACTTGGCCTATTTTTCACTCTTCCACACAGTGGTTACTGTGATTGTGATCTTCCCATGTGCCTTTGATTAGGCCTTTGTCTGAGTCATCTCTTTCTTCCCTCTCCTGTGACACCACACAGATAACAGACACTCAGCATTCAAATAGATTTTTTGGTGCCTTTTTGGGGAAGTCATTTCTGTTTCATCTGAGTTTGTTTTGTGTCATTTCTTTAATGGTCCAAATGCTGTTTTTTTTCTCCCCTAGTTCCGGGACTACTGTGCTATCTGCTTGAGGTGGGAGTGGCCTGGGTCTCCAAAGGCCTTGGAAAGGTGCAATTTAGAAGCAGCTTTCTTTGAAGGCCATTTTTTGAAAGTTTTATTTGACAGAATGGGAAGAATTCTTGATCAGGTAAGAAGTTTTAAAATATTAATTTTTTCATATATTGTTACCATTCAGTTTGGGTTAGCACAGGTCATAGTTTAGATTTTCAACAAAGTAGTTTTGCTGTTTCCTTAGTTATTCCATTAGATGACTGTTTCGTAAAAGTGACTGCCCACAACTGGTAGGTTTCCAAGCATGAATCATGTTAAAAGCATTTATTTGACCTGATGGCTATAACAGAATTTTGTGTTGTATTTCTCCTTATAGGTCTTTGTCTTCATATCCTTAACACTTTCTGGTGGCGATTGGAGGGCTTTCTTTTTACGACTAACTGAGAAAGTCTTTTGGTTAGTGCAGATAGAGGCGGACTTGCTACCTTTTATCCCAAGATCTTAAATGTCATTCCAAATTGGATCTTGAGTACTCTGGTCTCACAAAATCACAGAGCAGTGTTTGATGAACTGCTTCTTCAAAGCACTGGTGAATGATACTCCTTTTCATAGGGGCGAGGAAATAAAATGGTCACTTACTCCAAGGTGGATAGAAGCACCATTATCTAGGACATTGTTATGTCTGTCTCACTGACTGTCAGTGGCGGTGAACTGGGGTATCCAGGATTCAGTGTGTGTGTGTGTGTGTGTGGTGGTAGTGGGGGAGTGGGGGGACGCTGTTAGACTTGGTTTGAATCTTATTAAGCAATAAGATAGGGAAATAATAATTGATAGAGCAATATCATCAGTATCAAGACCTACTCTAGAAATTTTCATTAAAATCTCTAATAAAGAATCTAATTTTTTATAAGTAGTTTCTGAAAAGATCATCTTGGAGTCTTCCTCATACTTGAGCATTTTTCCCTTCAGTTTGTAGAGTGCTGACCCAAAGGGATGCTACTGAAGACAGAATATCCAGAAAGCTCTCAATTCCTTTTATTTCCTCAGATGCCATTGCAGGACTTGATAGTGCAGATAAAATGCACATACAGGATTTCAGTCTTTCTCCCTACAGCTGTGATCCATGCACGATTTCTAGTATTATTTTATAAGTGAGGAATCCTTAGTCTTAGTTAATAGAACGCCAGTGAGTTGTGGAGCCCTGCCTCAAACCTTTGGTCTTGAAACCTTGATTTTCTGAGCCATTTTTGGTGAGAACATCATGTAATCAGATCTTAAAGATGATCACAAGTCCTGGTGTGCTAAGCACACTTGATTTACTTTCATATTGTTTCCTTTCTAAATGTTTTGCTTAGGATGGCATTTGCATAGATTTTCTTAGTATATATCCATAACTGTCTCAGAGTGGTTAGACTGGAATTAAATTTTTACGGTGGATAACTAATAAAGGAGCTAATTTCTGCCATTTTAATTCATGACAAAATTGTGTTGTCACAAAGTGAAGACACCAGGAAAAGGGTAGGGAGGCCCTGCTGGTGAGAGATTTGACCTTGAGCATCTAACTTAGCCACTTGTCACATTTTCTTATTCTAAAAGTGAAGTTGCTATTATTTGCCCTTCCTGCATTTGGGGGTAAGAATTCAATAGAAAAAAAAAGTTTAGAACACTTAAAAATACAAAACGTTGTTAAATCCAAGTAGTATGAGAAATTTTAACAGGTTATCAAGTTATTGAGATTTTTGAAAATTTGATTTGAATCTTATTGTTCTAGCTGTGTATTAGGCTTTTAGTAGGACTGAGACCAGGTTTGCTGGTGTGACAGCAAATATGCTTTTTAATATGCTTTTTAACTCAGTGTTTATTTTCTTGAAAATGGATCTTTTATTTAGTGTGAACTCAGTAAAAGTGGGCCAAATTCATTTAACATGTCTGGACAATCTGATTAACTTCCATTGCAGGTAAATACTGAATAAAATACAAAAGAAAGGGGTCCAAAATTGTAGATCTAAAACTTGGTAGCATCACCCCTTCCAAAACCTATTTTTTTTTTTAAAGTCATTACCAGAATGAGGAAGAGACCATTTCAGACATATGGTGGAACAGTTTCTACTGAGCTGACATTTATTTTCATTTTCACTTTAAGAAATCATTTGTGCTATGTGGAGGTCTATGGGGGCCTCAGTGGTGGGTATAATGTGGTGACATAGCCCTAACAGATGTGAATCTAGGCCTCTCGGTCATATACAGTGTTGTAAACCAGTATCGCCTAAAAAATAAAGCTAAGAAAAGAAATGATCTGTGTCAGCCATAAGCTTTTCTTCAACAACCAAAGGCAGACTTTTGTTCAAATAAAGTTAAATACCAAAGTAATATCATATGGAGAATATACCAAGTTTAAGTGACATTATATCCTTATTTAGAACCAAGTTGTCATTGGCTTATTTATTTCAGCACCTGTAAATGGCAGAGTTAACTTCCTGAAAAGAAGAATCATAGGCAATACTTTAGTTGTACATTAAATAACATTGCTCATATTTTCATTCCAAATCTCACAGAATTGAAAAATGTTTCATTTATGCCTAAAATACAGTTTAGTATGAATTTCTATGAGTTGTGTCTTGAAGAAGCACATGTGAACATGTTCTGTTGCACATGTTGTCAAGGAGAATGTATTCTACAAACCAGCCTTGAATAGGGATTCCCGCCTCCTTTTATTTGTTTTGCCTAAGACTAGATTTTGAATAAGGATGACTCTGGGATAACTGTTCTCAGAAAGTCTGTGTTCATGGATCTCTAGTGGTAACTGAAAAAGTCCAGCATTGGGCTGAAAGCACAAAACTTGGGTTTTGTTCATGTCAGCACCTTTGATCACTTCTGCTTATACACCCAAGCTTTTCTTACCCTCTGAATGCAGAGACTTGGTTCTTAGTTGGTTTTTGTTATGGTCAAGGCTTTGAACACTGCTTGGAAGCATTCAGCATCCATGATTAGTATTAAACTTAGTCCTGAACCCTCCATACAGCATTCAGCCAGACACCCAACTTTTTATCAACTTCACAGTAAAGTCAGTTTTGTTTTTGCCTCCCTCCCAAGTTTCCTTTTGCTGCTTCTAAGAAGAAAACTGGAAGAAATTTCTGTTGAAACCTCCAGGCATAAATACAGAAGGTTTTTGCTATAAAACCTTTTGCTTTGATTTTAACATTCTCCAGAAAGCACCTGTTTTCTAGGAAGAGTAAAAAGATTAAAAATTAAAAACTAGAATTTAGTTGTGATGCTATGTATGAAAAAAAAAATGTATGAGAACTCACAAATACAGCATTGTTTTGGAAGAGTTAATGCCCTTGTGGTAAGTGCTATCTCTGTGCTGTATCTCCCCCTTCACTTGAGGCAGGCGGGAGTCATTTCTAGCCCCAAGCAGGCTCATTCAAGTTTTGTGACTTCACTTTGGGACGTGGTCGAATAACACAAGGAATAGCATTTCTAAAATTAAGGCTATTATATTTTAAGAGATTTTAATACTTTTCCTTTAATTTCTTTTAGCCTCAGACTTAATTTGCCCTTTGTAATTAATATCCCAAATGACATTTTCATGGTTTCTTCTGATGACCGCTTGAACTTAATTAAAATTCTGGCTATGGTATTTGGGTTTTAAATATGTGTTTATATGCATCGTCTTTAAGTTTTAGACCCCTAATTTATGCACTTCGACTAAGATGGTGAGAGCTAATTTAGTTTCATTGTAGAGGGCGTGTGGAGGGGGGAATAAGATGTAGGTTTTGAATGAAAGAACTAACTGGATAAGTAAAGTGTTTGGGTTCTGCATATGTCTTAAGTGATGTCAGATGTCTTTTTGTTTTTCACCTCTCCACAGCCATATGATGTAAATTTACAAGTAACCTCGGTGTTATCTAGACTTTCTCTCTTCCCTCATCCTCACATCCACGAGTACCTTTTAGATCCTTATGTGAACCTTGCGTCGGGCTGTAGATCTCTCTTCTCTGTAATCGTCAGGGTGAGTTATTAGTTTTGTTGTGTTCTCTAGCATTGATAAGTCTGTCCAGTTAACATCTTAATATCACTTATATAATTAGTCTTGCATAACGAGGAATCTGATATAATTAGAAGTAATTATTTTACTACAAAATATGGAAGAAAAAAAGTTAAGTGATTTATATAGTATTAAAGTGAAGGGATGGATGAGTCCATCAAAAATGGTTATGTGAACAGTGAGAGGGTCACTGTTATGAACCATTAACCTATAATAAAAGATATTCTTTATTGAGTAACAGGAAATGGTTGTGTTTTAACACTGAAAACCCCTGTGGACGTGATTATCAAAACTGAGTTCCTTTTGTCTCTGTGATATAGGTTGTTGGAGACCTTATGGTTCGAATCCAGCGCATTCAAGACTTTACACCTAAGCTTCTTTTAGTAAGAAAGCGATTACTTGGTCTGGAGCCTGAAGGCCCCATGTAAGTCAGTACTTACATATTTCTTTATCTAAAACTTTCCCTCGAACTTGATGAGCAGCTAAAGGCTTGAGTTGATTTACTGCCTGATTTTCCCTCACAGTATTGACCACATCACGTTGCTGGAGGGTGTGATCGTGTTAGAGGAGTTCTGTAAGGAGCTGGCCGCTATTGCATTTGTGAAATACCATGCTTCCTCTACACCATAAAGAGCACCTTTCAGGACGCTGAGGGACAGAATTGGTGTGTACATTTCATCAGCAAAATGCAGCTCCATCCAACCAAGAGGATTAAAAGCATTTGTAAATGAAGTGCTGCTGTAAACTGGGCAGAACCATTAAGAACCCACGGAGAGACACTGTCGGTAAACCTGTATAGTGTTTTCTTTGGCTTTCTCATAATGGTTCCAGATGTAACACTCACATCCTGGAATCCAGGGTACAATCAGGAACTTCAGGAGCTAAGCATTTCTAATGACTTTGTGAAAAGCTGCAAAATTTCCAGTGTCATGACTTTGATGATATTTATGTTATTTGAATATCCTTTTAGGCAGCAGGGCAGTTTGACATTCTCTGGGACTCAAATGCTTATATTCTTTTGGATTAACAAGTAGCAAAAAAGGACTAATTTTATAACTTTTTAAGGTCAGAATTCTTATCAAACAAAATATGAAAAAACTAAATGAGGAAAAAAATTGAGGAACCATCAAATGAGTGAATTAATAACAGGAGATTAAAATATGTAGAGCACCATTAACTTTCTTCAGCTTTTCTAAGAATAACAATTTACTATGATAAAAAAATTCTTGATTAATATAATATATATATTTTTAAAGAAATATTCTTCTTTTACCCTTCTGTGCACATAGCCATGTTAGTGGTGGAGTTTTGTGTGTGAGTCCCAGTTTAAACTGTCATTTTTGCAACAATATTGAATTTAGGCTCCCCATTGGTAGCGTTTACTAAAATAGTATTTTTTAAGTTGATTAACATGTATTGGGTCGAGAACCATTTTTGCCTAGCCATCTCTCCTCTCTGAAGACTGTTTTATGATTTGATGTTCCTTGTGAGCTGCATGGTGGCATCTGTAGGAGACTGATGAGTCTTAGGCAACAATCACAGTGGCAGTGGCCTCCTTCATGTTTACATTTAATTTTTCATTTGTTCATTCTTTTGTTTGAAATGATCCTCAAGAAATTGAAAAACAAACTAACCAGTCTGTCCTGTTTACATATTAAGAACTGAGGTAGAGTGTGAATGGTAGGCGTGAGGCAGCGTGTGGGCCTCCAGGGCTGTGCTGGCCCGGCGCCTGGGCGGACTTGCGAAATGGTGTTTGCTGATCCACGTTACGCCACGTTCTCTTCTCCCCTCAGTGATGCTTACTGCTCAAATACTGCTTTTAAGCTTCTTTCTGTTCCTCCCCTCCCGCCCCCCTTCCTTCTTAGTTGAAATATTAAGCAGCAGCACTTTTCTCTGTATTTTTCCATGGACTGATATTTAGGGGAGTAGATTTTCCATCTTGAACGCTACGCCACGGCTCCTCCGGGAAGCTGGTCTCTGCGGCGTGTCTGAGACGCTGGTGTGTGGCGAGTGCGTAGACGGGTGTGTTAGACCTACTGCTGATTTTGATGGATCGGTTTTCTGATTTATTTTATAGTTAGTTTTTGCTATTTATTAAGAACGAAATACCAGAAGACTATGAATATTTTTGGCTCTGGAATGTTTACCACTTAAAAAAAACAAAAAGACTAAATTTCTAATTTAATGCAAATCTCTGTTAGTTCTTTCTAGAAATGTATTAAGCTAAACAATGAAAAACACAAACGTGGGGGATATTTTGTGCATTACCTTGCTTAAGTGATCTTTAAAGGTGAGAAAGCATTGCCCATTCAAGCAAGGAACATGGCAGCCTCTCGCTTTTTAGATGTAGTGAGTAGGTTTGTTTAAAAAGCATTAAGAGATACTAGATATTTCTTAATGTTTCAGTAGGTATTCAGCAGTGATGTTACCACTTGAACCAAATACTATTTTATCCTTGATTTCACAATGGGACCTTATAGCTAATCTATGAAACCAAGATCCGGAAAGCTTTAACTCTTAAATTTATGTGTGTATGCTGCTTATTAAACCAGTTATTTTCCTAAGTTATTATAATGACTTTGGTTTGTAATCAGTTAAAGCTTAAGGAACAATTTACCTTCTAGGTTTTTTTTATTTCCCCTATATTTAGTTTATACCTAGAGCCTGTGTCATTTCCCACAGTGAGTTGGATTTGTGAGGGAAACACTGTACTATGTGACTAGTAAGTCTTTTTCTTACTGTCTCTTGAAAGCTGAATATTTCTATTATTCAGTATTTGTAAAACAGTGACTAAAATGCAGCCTGTGTTGGGTGGAAATGACCACCCTGACAATTGATTGCATAGCAACTTCCAAACTGGACTTCAGCCTTGCTTCATAGTGGCATCAGTAGGTATACACGTTTTTGTTTTTTTTTTTTAACATTTTCTCTAACAGCAGTCTCTTTGTTGTTGTTTTTTTAGTAATGAGCCACATTCTTTACTTGCTAGAATTCAGATTTATCCTTAGTCAGTTATCATGTAGTGCTCATAACTGTGTAATGTTCTCATAATGTATCTGTGCAATATGGGAGCTATGAGTGGATTCATAGCTTTTGGTTTAATTGTATAATACTGTGTACATGTGTATATAAATGTATATACATAAGGACCAAAATCCTTAGCTTGCTTACACTGTTGCTAGTGTGAAGATTGTTACACTTAATTTTACAGGCCACAAATTATGGAATTCATAATTCATGGTAACACATTTCCATAAATTATTGCATTAATAGACAATTACCATTTAATTATGAAGTTTCATAGTATTGACAGAAGTTACAGTGAAGTGTGAGAACCACAGCTGTATGGTAATTACATTTCGGGTTGTACAGTGAATTAAATATGCATGTCATTGTGACACTTGATGTGACACATGGTTGATAATCATATTTCTGGGCCCTGTAAAGTAGTGTTACCATAATACTCTGTTTGGCCTCCTGCCTTGTTTACATTAAACAAAGGATATTTGGGAAATTTTTCTATCAAGCATTGTGCAGGTTGCTGAGGGTGTGACCGAGGCCTGGTTCGCAGGCTGCCTGTGAGGAAGCTCTGCAGATGGCGACTGTGTACCTACTCGCTGCAAAGGAGGCTGATCGCGTTCAATTTTTTGTGCTAACTGCATGCAGGTCGAAGAGGGATAACCTAAAAATAAATAATGTAATTTAAACAAAACGTCTCATGTCTATATTATATCAGCCTTATATTTTTGTAGCATTCTAGTTGGAAGCATTGTGGTGCGCTGTTCAGTCTACAATAGTAATTCAAAACACAAAAAGCTTTGACATACTGCTGTCGGTAGGTCCCGGGATCACCGACTCATGAGAGCAAGAAGAAATCATCAGAATAGCTGAGAATCCCTATGGGTGACCCACATAGGTATCCACCACTCCATTCCCTAAAGAGAGAAGTACTAGAAAAAGAATTTACAGTAATTAATGTTTTTTGATATATTTATAGCATATAAAAACTTTTCTCTATGGCAATTATTAGGTTAATCCGACTTGCGTGAGTGTTTACCAAAGTCTATAAATTGAAAACTAGAAGAGGAAAGTTTACTATTAACCCCTTGATTCTTTTCGGCCAAGGTTATTAAAAACATTTTCAGAAGGAAGCTGGTGGCGGGTGGGGGTGGTGGGGGTTGTGGCGGCCTCCGGCTGGGTTGCAGAGCTGCGCTGCTCCGAAGACGCAGGCACGTGACCACAGATGCCAGGTCTGAACAGCCCTGTTAAGAGTGCAGTTACTTAGAACTTGTTTAGTGTTTTATCTTCACGAAATTTAAGGAGTTAATGTAGAACTGCTATGGTTGAGACTTTGTTAGAGGAACTTTCAAAAAAATAAAACAATGATTTAGTCAAAAGTTACTGAACTTCCGGTGAGCCACGTTTTGAGATGGTAACCGGAAGAAGCCGTTGCTCCTCCGGAAGTCCGTCGGGGAAGGGTAGGGGCACTGCACGTGTAACCATACGGAGTGCAGAACTCTTCGGGTCCAGTGGAGTTTTTACCAGGACAGGATCATTTCATCATTATCCTGCAATTGGTGCCCAGCACCTGTTCCAAACTTGTGCTTTAGGACCCACATTTTCTGGGAATAAGTAATCATGAAATGTGGTTTAAGTGGTCACCTTGTAGAACTATTATAGAGAAGGCGAACAGTCAATTGAAATGTCAAATGACCCGATATTAGGGGTGAGATTTTGTTTAGCAAAGTGCTTACAGAGCCTCACCTCTCCTTGTTTTGCCTCAGTGGTCCCAGGGCCACACTTCAGCCTTCCCTGAGTTGAGGCACAAGATGGCTGCGCAGCCAATCAACAGAGCTAGCTGAGGTTGAGGGAGTCCCCCACATGCCAGAGAGGCGTGTAGCGATGGAATGTGTCACCCTCCACCAGCTTCTCCCCGAAATACCCACCCTTTTCTGAAACTCAAGTCAGCAGTCAGCCTAGCAGGTAGCAGTCAGTCAGCGTCATATATCTGCTTGAAAGCAGGAGGGCCACATCGGACTTGGATTTTCCTTCCTACTATCGTTCTTGAGGTGGCCCCTAGGAATTCTCTGATGTCCTGGGGTGAATCTGAGGAATTAAAGGAATTTTAGATGACTTAATCAGTTTGTGATTTTTCCCTTTTGTTAAGACTAGTCAGCATATTAAGGAACCAAGTCTTAAAAGGAGGGGGAAGAAGAGGGCTTTAGGGTAACAATTCTGACCGAGTAGCCAAATCTTGACATGAAAGTAGGGCTCAGTAGGATTTCAAACATCCCCGTGGCTTACTCTGCTCTCATTTGAGGAGTTGAGGATTGGAGAGAAGGAAGGCATCTTTGGGTATTTGTGGTCGTTAGTTTCCTAACGGTACCGTGTTATGTGCATCGGTTGGCATGGTGATCATTCTATTCTTAACAAAATGTTCATTCCAGTGATGTACTAAAGGCTTTGGGGATAATTTCAGCTGAGAGAATCCAAACAAACCAAGAGAATCCAACAAAACAAGCCAACATCCTGGGTCTCACAGATGACTTTCTTTAAAAAAAAAACAAAAACAAAACAAAACAAAAAAACCCACCACATTTTGAAGTTGAGAACTAAGACCAGAAACAGAATTGCAAGAGCTATGTGGTTCAGAAAATAATAATAATAAAAAAAAGCAAGCAGGCGGCACTCAGCCTGTGAGACTGGAGGAGACAAAACAAAAGCATCTCTGAGTCTTACTGCCTCAGGCTGGTAATTTATGAGTAAGGAATCATAAAATCAATTTCACCGTAATGCAGAAAGATGAGATGACACACAAATTCACTATAGTCTGGATAAAGTTATATTTCAAAGCCCTGAAGATGAGATGCTTTCATGTAATAACATGAGAAATGTATTCCTCATTCCACTCACAAGTAGAATAGCATGTAGGATTTTAATTGATTAAACTTCCCAAGAGAACCATGCGCTGAAGATTTGTAGAGGAAAACAAATTAGCCATTCCTTAAACATAATTCTTCCATGTTTAAAATATGCTTTTCTACTTCAATCTCTTTATCCTTTTGCTCTTAGAACAATGGTGTGAGTTACGGAGCATAATATGGCTTTCTAATCTCTGTGGGCTACTTCAATTATTTGAGTGTCCTGTGATCTTTATTTCTGTTGTGTTTTAGAAATGATTAGGAAGGAAACAGACCATCTTTCTTAAGCAGCATTGGTGTCAGGGGTCAACAGAAATGGAAGTTGAGAAGAAAACGCCTACTTTGAGGATATGAACATTACCCCAGTAATCCATGGCCCTCGAACCTCTTGACAATAAACAGCTTCCATTTTCCATGAAGGGCTCCCACATGATACAAATAAACCTTTCCCTGAAAGTACTACTGGCAAGAACTTATGTGACTCATTGGAATTTGGGTTCAAAACCACATCCTCAAACAATAAAAGCAATGAATGTAAATGTGCACGACAATTCTGGGTGTTTTTTCTTTGGTATTTGACATTGTAATAAAAATAATGTCGCACGGTTCTTAATAGAGGCCTTTCACACATAGCATCTGAAATATAATTGATAGTCATTGAATTCTAAGTATTTCAAAGAAAAAGCTGATATATAGCTTGCCAAATAGTGGTGTTCATTTATTATGATTTTTATTTCAATAGGAAGGAAAAGACTAGAAGACTGTAATTAATTTGACATAGATAATTATGGAATGAGCACTTCAAAAAACATACCATTTCAAGGCCATGATAAAAATTTCTTCATCCTCATGGTGCAGCTCGCTATGACTCTGCTTTCAGATATAAATGGTTGTGTTTTGGCTCTTCCTCCTGTGAGCTGTGTGATCAGCTGCCCAACTGTTAACATGAACGCCTCAAAACACAAGCCCTCACTGTCAGCCTTTTTTGGTTAAGAAAGATGTTAGATGTACGTGCTGCTTTTTCTACAGGTTCCTAGGTTATTTTTAGAAAGAACTTGCAAATTTCTCTGACCCTGCGTTACATCTTTTTTTAATTTACAAACTCTTCAGAAATCCCTACATAACCATGGAAGCTGATCCCTGCCTCTTCTGATGATTAAAAATCAAAAGAAGGTATTTTGCAGAAATTTAGCTGTCCTCGATACTTCTAGTGAAAGCAAGAAGCTATTGCACTTGTACAAAAGATAGGTCTCTGGCCCTCCCTGGTGGCGCAGAGGGTTAAAGCGCAGCACTATGAAACTATCACAGCCACTGCAGCACCAGTTAGATCCCCCTACCCTAACCCCTCACCCCAGGGAGCTGACCAACAAGAAGCAGCAGACCTCTCTTGTCCCACCCACTGCTCCCCTCAGCAGTGTATTTCGATCCATCTACGTGTTTTGTTCCCCACTCTGTCTCTAGTGAATCCTCTCACTCCCTGCATCTCTGGCCTGTACTCCAGTTCTTGTTATGCAAAAATAAATACATCTTAAAAAAAAAAAAAGAAAGAAAGAAAGAAAGAAAGAAAGAAACGAACGACAGGGATCTTTGGTAGAACTTTCCACAATGGTCCTGGAAGCCTAAAACACTATCATGGAGGGCTGTGTTCATAAATATTGGGATGTAATGTCCAAACTGGGTGGTAATGTTGCAGGGGATATAGTCACATCTTCCCTAAGCTCAACCGCTGTCACCAAAGCCTGTCTGGTGATAGCACGGCAGGGCAATAGAGTCCCTCTTCTTGCCTTAGCTCTTTGTAAAGGAGGAGCTAAGGCAAGCTCTGTGCAGATCCTTAAGCTGTTGTCCTTCAGTTCCAAAGCCACTCATATTTGCTTGATGATGTTGGGTTAGGTTTCGTGGAATTTCTGCTAGGTTTTGTCATTATGGCGTTCAAGACAGAAAAGAGGAAGGAGGAAGGGGGTGGCATGGAACTTCTTTCTTTGAGTTTGCTTGCTATTCCGGACAGGACCACCTCAGCTATGGGTTTGCAGAAGTTGGTTTCAAATTGTGTATTCTTTGAATGCTCCCAGAACCTTCTAACCTTCCAGAAACAGCAACAAACTGGTGGGACCCCCCTTTAAGGGCCTGCACCCCAGCTTGCTAGGGCCTATCTTCCAATTCTCTAGCCCCAGCCTCTTCCCTTTGTTCTTTCAGCACTTCTGGTAGCTGCTTCCTGGGTTATTATTTCAGGATGACGTCAGTGAATGATCCATTTCCCTCATCCAGTCCCTCAATATTGGTGTAAACAATTCCCATGTTGAGTTCCCTCTGCTGAAACCCCTGACAGAGTCTCTCTTTTCCTGAGGAGACATCTCAGTTGGTGTCTCTCACTAGTATATTTCTTATTAGTCCCTCAGCACCTTCATGGAAAGACTGGCTGCTAGACACTATATAAAGATATACACTCATGCCCCCATAGACCCATGCTCTCTTTTCCTCAGTTTTGGATTAGTTTTCTACCTGACACCAGGAAATTCTGGCATCTCAGCTCATTGAATGTAGGTCAACAGTGAATATATATTTCATTAAAGCAACCCAGGAAGCCTCTAGAACACTTCCAGCTGGGCAAGCCACACGTGGCATCCAGACTCAGGTGTACATCAACATCCAAACCATGGGGCTGACTTCATGTTTTTCTTGATCTTTCTTTGACTCCATTCCCATAGTCATCTCCAGATGTCTACCTCTATAAATACGCAAAAACATCGCCTTGCTTTGGAACAGCAGTTAATGCTTCCCAGG